GGGCGGTGGTCCGCTGGAGCTTTGATGGGGAGGGGTTTACAGCTGAGTCTGGGGAGCTGAGGGTAGGAAATGCCACCCCAAACCTCAGTCATTCTCCCCTTGGCCCTGCCTCCTCCTGTAGTATCACCTTTTGATTTAAACCCGGTCATAAATATTTTCTATTTCTACCAGTAGGAGAAAAAACAACAACAGTGGGTCCACAGACACAAGATAACTTTTCGGAAGACAGCATTGTCACAGCCTAGCCAGGGACTCACCCTGCCTGTCTAGGGCCTGAGGCTGGGCCCTCTGCTTCAGGTGTTGGGGACAGGTGAGTACTCTTCCCTGGGGACCCTGAGGGAGGCTGAATCAAGGGCCCCAGGTGCATGGAGGAGGGGTTCTGGCAGAAGGAACACCTGGCAAGAAAAGAAGTAGTTCTTAACGGGGGGCAATTTGCTCCCCAGGTGACGTGGGCGATATCTGGAGTCATTTTTTATTTTTTTAAAAATATATCTTTATTGACTTCAGAGAGAGGAAAGGAGAGAGAGAGAGAGATGGAAGCATCAATGATGAGAGAGTCGTTGATTGGCTGCCTCCTGCACGCCCCTGACTCGGGATGAGCCCGCAGCCTGGGCATGTGCCCTGACCGGGAATCAAACCGCTGTCTCCTGGATCCTAGGTTGATGCTCAACCTCCGTGCCACGCGGGGCCAGGCTGGATTCATTTTGGGTTGTGCGGACTGGAGGCGGGGGTGGTGCTAGTGGCATCAGGTAGTGGTGGGGGGAGAGCAGAGAGGTTGCTGCACATCCTGAAAGGAACAGCGAGGCATGGGGCCCAAATGTGCACAGTGCCCAGACCCTACTTTATCAGTGCCTCTTCTGGACGTTTTGTGTAAGTGGAAGCACATAGTATGTGGCCTTTGTGTCCGTTTTCTTTTACTGAGCATGTTTTGTCTTTTTTGTAAAAAATATATATCTTTATTGATTTCAGAGAGAGGAAAGGAGAGGAGGAGAGAGATAGAAACATCAATGATGAGAGAATCATTGATTGAGCCCGCAACCCCGGGCATGTGCCGGGGTTTGACTGGGAATCAAACCCTGATCGCCTGGATCCCAGGTCGACGCTCAACCGCTGAGCCACGCCCAGCCGGGCGAGCATGTTTTTTCTTAATTGAATATAATAACATTAGTTTCAGGTGTACAACTTAATGATTCAATATTTGTACATACAGTTGCAATTTTTTTTCTTGTGATGAGAACTTTAAAGATCTGCTCTTAGCAACTTTCAAATACAGAATATTGTTAATTATAGCCCCTATGCTGTACATCACATCCCCATGACTTATTACTGGAAGTTTTTATCTTTTGACCCCTTTCATCTATTTTGCGCTCGCCGCCATCTGTTTTCTGTATCTATGAGCTCGTTGTTTTTTGTTGTTTTAGATTCCGGGTATGAGTGAGACCGCCGAGCATGTTTTTAGGGTTCTTCACCACTTTTAATAAGACTCCAAAGAGATAGGAAGGTGATACGAGTGGGGAAACTGAGGCACTATAAAGCAACTTCGTGTCACACCGTGGCGGAGCTGGGATTTTGAAGCCCAGCGGTTTGGCTCTGGACCCGAGGCCTCCGCTAGCCGTTTAATGAATAGCTAGTAACACCGCGGGCAGCCCAGCGGAGCTCCCACCTCCCAGGCCTCCCCGAACTTCAGCTCCCGGCATACGCAGCAAGGCGCTCAGCCGGACTACAAATTCCAGGCTGCCTCGCGCGGGCGGCCGC